TTCCTAAATGTATGAAACAATAGAGCATAGCTGACAAATTTTACACCAAATAAGATATGTTTTTACTAGTGGTAGTGACACAAAAATTACATTGAACATACCCGACATAGAAAACTTCCCAAATATTAGCGAAATGGTATTTGAATTACAATTATAGACCATTTTTTTATTTTGCGAGATATTAAACAAACCGTCATTTAATTATCATATGTTTACATGAATGTTTAATTTATTTATTTGTAATATCGGTGAAAACAAATTTAAATAAAAATTTATGCTGCTTAGAAAAATGGTACAAAAATATAAATTTATGTCATAAGAAACAAAATTATTGCTACCACCGTAAATTCAATAATATAATTTGACAAAAAATTCATAAAACTCTGTAAAATGACATTTATAATTGCAAACAGTTCCTCTGTGGACTGATTGTTTAGACACTGTTCATAGTAGCACAACGAATTCCAGCATCACTGGCTGCGGTCAGTGCGCCTAGGGTGTGTGGTGTTGATTTTCGTTTAACTGTTCTACCGTGAAAAGCTCGACTTCCTGCAGGCCGTTTTGCTACCGAAGCAGGGAAGCCACCCCTTTGCGAGCTTGGATCGTGTAAACAATCATCCAAAAACTTGGTCCAACTTCTTGGACGATAGTAGAGCATGTTCTACTTTCCATCCAAGTTTTTCCTCCCTTAACCAATCAGCGTCTTATAGGTTTTGTGACGTCAACAAGCAGGCAGCAAATTATGTCATTTTGTTGTCTGTTTTCATATAATTTAGGTGCAGGTCGTCGGGCTACCGAAGCGGGGGTGCAATCCCCTCTGCAGAGGATCCCAATTCTGATGGCTCGTCTCCACATCATCCTCAGGAATGTTTCCCAGCATCAGTCCAGCATCACTGGCTGTGGTCAGTGCGCCTAGAGTGTGTGGTGTTGATCTTCGTTAAACTGTTCTACCGTGAAAAGCTCAACTTCCTGCAGGTCGTTATGCTACCGAAGCAGGGAAGCCACCCCTTTGCGAGGATCAAAATTCTGATGGCTTGTCTTCAGATCATCCTCAGGAATGTTTCCCAGACCGTCACCAATAGTCCATTGTGCAGCTTTAGTGTGGCGTAAACCAATAATAAAAAGAGCAAGCAAAATATTGGAAAACATTCATCAACACTTGCAAAACCATACCAAACATTATTTTACTAGTATTAGCATTATTTTACTGGTACACATGCAGGGTTGTACAAGACATGCGAAGATATAAGTAGAAATTTCTGTGATACTCAAACTCACGACCTCCAAGCTACAGAGCCTTCGGTGAGTCAGCAAGGACGCTTGGATAGTTTATCTAGAGTTAGTATATCCATTATTTTGATAAGTATATGTATCCTTTAATTGTTTAAATATATTATCAAGACAGAGTTATTAAAAATTACATTTTGTTATCCCTTGAAATATAAAAAATAAATATTCCCCAAAAATCGGGACAATTGGTAACTACTCTTAAAAAATTTAAAAACAAAAATATTCAATTTGCATCAAATTCTCCTTTAATTTTCATCACACTTTAATAAAAAATATGTCAGTATTTTGTAACTCTGTTTTACAATACCTTTCGAAAGGGCTGCCAACTTTCAACACTTTTTGTAAAAGTTTATTGTAGTGGTAACTATTTGCATGTTTAAATATATTATTTTTTGTTCATTTAAACTTATTTTCCACACTACTGTATATAAATTATTTAAAAGTTCATGTACGTGTTGTGCATGAACCTAAAAGTCATTTATCACTTTGTACCNTGCTTAGAAAAATGGTATAAAAATATAAATTTATGTCATAAGAAACAAAATTATTGCTACCACCGTAAATTCAATAATATAATTTGACAAAAAATTCATAAAACTCTGTAAAATGACATTTATAATTGCAAACAGTTCCTCTGTGGACTGATTGTTTAGACACTGTTCATAGTAGCACAACGAATTCCAGCATCACTGGCTGCGGTCAGTGCGCCTAGGGTGTGTGGTGTTGATTTTCGTTTAACTGTTCTACCGTGAAAAGCTCGACTTCCTGCAGGCCGTTTTGCTACCGAAGCAGGGAAGCCACCCCTTTGCGAGCTTGGATCGTGTAAACAATCATCCAAAAACTTGGTCCAACTTCTTGGACGATAGTAGAGCATGTTCTACTTTCCATCCAAGTTTTTCCTCCCTTAACCAATCAGCGTCTTATAGGTTTTGTGACGTCAACAAGCAGGCAGCAAATTATGTCATTTTGTTGTCTGTTTTCATATAATTTAGGTGCAGGTCGTCGGGCTACCGAAGCGGGGGTGCAATCCCCTCTGCAGAGGATCCCAATTCTGATGGCTCGTCTTCAGATCATCCTCAGGAATATTTCCCAGACCGTCGCCAATAGCCCATTGTGTAGGTTTAGTGCGACGTAAGCCAATAATAAAACAGCAAACAAAATGTTGTAAAAAGTTAATCAGGACTTGCAGAACCATACCAAACATTATTTCACTAGTATTAGCATTATTTTACTAGTACACATGCAGGGTTGTGCAAGACATGCGAAGAGGCTTGTTGTAATTTCAGTGGGACTAAAACCCACTACCTCCACGCTACAGAGCTTTCGATGAGTCAGCAAGGACGCTTGGATAGTTTATCTAGAGTTAATATAGAAGTTTATCCATTATTTTGATAAGCATCTATATCCTTCAATTGTTTAAATATATTATCAAGGCAGAGTTATTAAAAATTATATTTTGTTATCCCTTGAAATAGAAAAAATAAATATTCCCCGAAAATCGGGCACTTGGCAACTATTCTTAAAAAAATTAGAGACATAAATATTCAATTTTCATCAAATTCTCCTTTAATTTTCATCACACTTTAATAAAAATATGTCAGTATTTTGTAACTCTGTTTTACAATACCTTTCGCAGGGCTGCCAACTTTCAACACTTTTTGTAAAAGTTTATTGTAGTGGTAACTATTTGTATGTTTAAATATATTATTTTTTGTTCATTTAAACTTATTTTCCACACTACTGTATATAAATTATTTAAAAGTTCATGTACGTGTTGTGCATGAACCTAAAAGTCATTTATCACTTTGCACCAGTTCTTTCGTGGTAGGGCTTTTAAAATGTTGGCTAAATTGCAAACAATTCTGAAAGCATTTTTTTCTTAAATGTCTAACACTCTATAAAATATTTTGTAAAAAGCATATTAGTTAGCAAGGCCTGCTTTTGTCTCACTTCAAAATAATATAAAATTTCAATCTGACGTTCTGAGGATTTTGCTACCACACGATTATGAATTGTTTTAAGAAAATGTAAAATAAGAAGCTGAGATGTTTAAACATTTTTAAACTTGCCTGGCAGAAAGTGTTTTCGGACCCTAGCAGCGTCTTCATCAGTGAACGAAATATAAGCATCGAATAGTTTTCCATCATCTCTTCTGTCTCGTTTCTTGAAACATTTCCATCCTCTCGAATAGAGCCACACTTTTAAATGATATCGATATCGGAAATACAATAAAATGGAGGCCACTGTCATTATTAGAATCACTGCAAGGTGGGGATAAAAACAATTATTTTTTGAAAATAGATTATTAATAATATATACACCTAAAATTAGCTAACATATCATTCAAAATTTTGACAAACATTCAAATTGAAATAACAGTTTTTTTTATTTGTTCAAAATAATGATTAGAAAGCTTTACTGGAAAATAAAAAAAAATTGCCCACATTAACTTTACTCTCTAGTTTTATCGAATCTGGCCGAAAAAAAGCTGGGCTGTCAACTTTGTGCGCTTTTTGGAAAAATTTCTTCTAGTGGTAGCTGAGTTAATGTTTCAATGTATGATTCTTTATTTTGTAAATTTGATTTAAATTTATTCAACACACCAATACATTTAAATGATAAGAGAGAGGAGAAATAAATTTCCCTCTCTAAATTTGTTTTCGATATATTTTTTAATATCCTGAAACGTTTGAGAACAATATTGAGGCATAGGACTAATATTAAGGTAATATTTTCTGGGTAGAATTCTACAAAGTAATAATAAAATCGAAATATACACTATATACATGAATAATGTCAACTTCATTTGCTTGTTTTCTTTTCTTTTCTACTTTGTTGTTTGGTTCAATTTAATAAATCAGTTTTAATAAAACAAAGAAAGCTCTAAAATACAAATTGTTCTTACAAAGTTGATTTATAATATTATCCCCCCTCTTCCCAATCCATCCAAAGCCTAAAACATGAGGTCGAGTAATCCCAGATAGCAGTGCAAGGTTAATTTTAATGTCAGCAGGAACCTTTATCGCAACCCCTATACAAGGGTTATAAATGATTAGCAAATAAACCCTGCAAGATTGAAATTTAGCTGTGCTACCAATGTTCGCGTTAATTTTGCAAAAACAACCCTTTCATAGCGAGATTGAATCTGAGTGTGCAAAACAGGGCTAGAAAAACCTTCTGAAATCACGAATTAGTCATCCTTTGCAAATTAACAGTAGAAAACTGAGTTTCCAAACCGAGGATAAATTCATATTCCCAAGATTTCTCTTAAAATTTATAACCATCAGTTAAACATGGTTTATTTACGCAGACTGTTATACACTTTCTTGAAAACACTAAAAGCGAAAAAGTAAAATCAATTGGGTCTGATTACAAGTTTTCAACACAAACATAATTCTGCACTTCAGAGATTGAACAAAGTTAGAAGGAAGAAACAGGCAAAAAGAAGGTTTTCAGTAAACGACGAAAAAATCTAATTTTTGTTACATTTTGCATACTAATAGTTCTATCAAGTTTAAAAAAGATTTATTAGTCAGCCTTTATATACCATCCAAATGAAAATACAACGTTTAACGTAGTGTTGCATACTATCTGGATTATCATTTACAATATAAAGGGTACCCAACAGTTTGCAATTGGTTTAATACCGTTTTTTTTGGGGGGGGGGATTTCTGGGATTTTTTTGATTTTTGAACTATCTATACAGTGGTTTATATGATGGAAGGGCCGGTATACTCTGGTTGGCAGGGTCTCAGGCGCATGTGTAAGAGGTCCTGAGCCCGGACAGCTGAAAACTCTCCGTGTCTTAAATGGTAACAGGTGCATGTTGAATCTGTCGGATCATAAAGTCCTCCATTTTCCCATAACAAATTATACCTCTGGGGTACTGTAAATGGAGATTGATTGTTATCTGGTTCAGGTTAGAATAGCGATCTGTGGATGAATGAATGGATATATGAATGACTCCGCCTTTTAAACGGGCTGTGAGGAGTGTACAGCTGAAGTCGTATTTTTGGCCATAGATGACACCACTGATAAACATGAAATGCACCCTCACCATTAAATTCGCTTAATTTCACCGAGGTTACTTGCTGATATAGGTACAAAGTGGCATTAGAAACAACAACATAGATGATAAAGGAAAAGAAACTTTTCGCATAACTTTTTTGTAGTTCAAGAAATGATTGGTATTGATACTTACCCGCACCACCTACTCCCATTAAGATATAGTTCCGTATCAGTTTAGGACAAAGCTCGATTTCACTCAGAGTAATTATTACTTTCCCTCTCAGACTTTCTCTGTCTTCTTCAAAGCTACATCGGGTCTCGTTTACATCTAAAATCTGAAAATAATTCAAACTTTTGACATTTTAAGAAGTATTGTGTTAAAAANCACACACACACACACACACACACACACACACACACACACACACACACACACACACACACACACACACACACACACACACACACACACACACACACACACACACACACACACACACACACACACACACACACACACACACACACACACACACACACACACACACACACACACACACACACACACACACACACACACACACACACACACACACACACACACACACACACACACACACACACACACACACACACACACACACACACACACACACACACACACACACACACACACACACACACACACACACACACACACACACACACACACACACACACACACATATACACACACACACACACACACACACACACATATATATATATATATATATATATATATGTGTGTGTGTGTGTGTGTGTGTATAAAGAGAGAGATAGTTGCTGTGAAGAATTCTTCCACGACTTTATAAAAAGATAATATAACAGCTAGATGAAGTTACGGCTAGAGAGTTATATAGTTTGTCTAAAATAAGAACTTCCCTAGTCATCCGTCTGGACCAGTGGTGGTGACTATGGCAACGAGGTATTTTAATTAGGGTTGTGGGGTCATTGCATTGGATAGGCTTTGTTTCTGATCGGCGAGAGAAAAGGAATCCTTTCTTCGATCTACTCTGTTACCCCTAGAGTGAAAAGAAGCTACCCTCCCTGAAATGCGCTATTCTTGTTTCCATTGCAGCAAACGATCTCAGACTTTGTGGCGAGGGGAATTCTTACCGTATACAAACTCTTACCTTAGAGCTTTCCGCCAAACTTACCTTAGAGCTTTCCGCCATCATCCACTTTCTGAAAGGAAGAGTATCACAGTCACACTGCCATGGATTATGAGATAGGGTGAAAGTCTTGATATTAGACGGCGGATTGTTGAAGAATCTTGTGATATTGTTTTCTGCCAGTAAGAGAACCTCTACGTTATTCGGAAGACTAAAGTCCAATTGTGAAATAAAGTTGCGTTCCAGATTCAAGGTACGTAGCTTGGACATAGGAGGAAGGTTGAGCTCGATTGGATTATACAAAAAGTTTTCTCGAAGATTTAGTTCAATCGTCAGTTCTGGAAATCTACTAGGAATCTAACAAAATGGTAAGAAATTTTAATGAATAGAAATATCTTAAACATTATGTACGTATACAATGCGCAAAGTATGAAACGGACCACGCAGAATAACATTTGACATAATGATCGGATCTTCACTTTCTTAATGGATCGAGGGGGTGAACTCAAATATGCTAATTTCCATGAATAATATTTTAAATTACGAAAACAGACCCAAAAAATGCGATTTCTATGAATGAACCTACCTTTTTATTTGATGCATTCGGATTTCTGAACCCCAAAATTTAGGGGTTAGACGCAATTCGATAAATCTGTTCGTGATATTTATGCAATGGTCAATCTGATATTATGCAATCCAATAAATATGGTCGGGAGAGCGGTCAAATGTTCGGACCCCTTAATTTTTATCTTAAAAACAGTTTAAACGAATAAAATTTGCACACAATTATAAAATTTGTTTTTCTAAAAATAATTCCATAAAAAAAACTTTTGCATGACATTCTTTGTAATTGTTTAATATTTTATTTAATACTCGTCAAAAAACTTTTGATTTGTATGGATTGCAACTTTTTATATCATAACATATATGATGCAAAAAGTTGCAATCCATAACCTATATGAATTTGATACTATTTTAAAATTGTATGTCAAATTAAAAACGAAAAAGTAATCACAGATATGTAAATTAAACATAATCTTTTTGAAAAATATTTAGTTTAAAATAAGTTTACCTAACTATTTTTAAAACAGTTAAAGTAATAAAATCAATTTTACTTTAAAATAACTTTTCAAGTGTGATCCTATGTGTTTTAAATAAAAATTATTTTCACTGCAAAATTTAATATCAGCTTTTTCAGCTTTCAGAAAATTTTGCTGTTAACATTATCCTTTATTCTTATTCCAATCTAAACAAGGAAAATACGAAGAAACTGTGAAAAAACTATAGATAAAAAGATATTTTTTAATTATCATTTTACAGTTTGAAAAAGCATAAATTTTACTCAAATCTCACATTTTACTATAATTGAACCTATCCAGAAGACAAGGAAACTCCTGGATCAGTACCCTCAGAGTTATTGATTTATTATGGAAACATGTGAGACTTTGCTATTCAACGGATTTAATGTGCATCAGTCACCATTTACTAGACGGGAGGTCTTCGGCCGGTCAGGGATCGAACAAACGAATTCTTTTATATGAGCCCAGAGGCCAACCAACCAGGCTATCACGTCCCTATAAGGCTTTTTTTTTAAAAAAAATTAAGGTGCTAACATAATCTTTTTTTTCCACATAAAATTCATTGCAATTGATTAATGGAACATTTCTAATCATAATAAAATGATAAACATCGTCCCTGAAATAGGTGGGAAAAGAAGGAGATGCCAACTCTTCCGGTTTTCCCGGAAGATTCTTTTTTTCATATTTAAAGTGCTCACAAAATTCATGTTATTTCACTAAACCTTTTGAATTATATTAATAATTATAAATGAGTTTGACCACCACTACACATAAATAATTACAACAGATATACAAAAAGCATATAAGACCTCACTATAGCAAACTTCACCCTGGTTAAAATATAAATATCTTTTTGAGTAAAACTGTTTTTCGGTAATTGTTTTACTACCACTGGGAAAATCCATTCTCGAAAAGTATGAATGAATGTTTGCAGGTATGGAGATTGATGAGGTAAAAACAGGAGTGGTATAGGGGCCACTTTGTACGGTCGCTGAGATTCTTCTTATTTGTAGAAACGTTTATATTTCAACGTAAAAATCTTTAATTTTAAAAGGTATGTTTTAAATTGTTTTACCTACAAGGGCAAAACACTTATTCTAAGAAATGTATACAGGATTGGTTAATGATTGATATTTGGCGCCTCCCTGTATCGCTTTCCTAGCTCTGTACAAAGCGTCTAGGGAGTGGGTTTGAACCCCGATGTTACCCTGGATGTATTTTCTTGATATCATTCTCTGCATTTTGCTATCTGTCCTTCTATTTAGCAAAGGTTTTTAAGCCTAAATGTATTACACAAGCCTGAAAATGTATGCAATTCCAATAAACCAATTTATACTGCCAATTGCATTCTGCTCAACATTTTATTTTTTATATTTATAATTGATTCTTGTTTTAGCAAATTTGATTCAATTTGAGTTTTATTACCGATAAATTTAAATAGCTTAACCTGTTCCGGTACATTGTAGCCAGTCTGGTAACACTAATTTAACCCTTTCGTACCGGACGGGACATGTGCTATCCCAGTTTGGTAAATTTTTGATATTAAGGCTGGGACAACATATGTCCCAGTTACTGAAAAATATCTATGACAGAAAATAACGCCCAGTTTGGTCTCCAAACCGATTTTAAGGCCGTCTCATCGTTCTGAGTCCATAAATTTCTCACGTCAATCGTTCCAGGTCTAATCAAGCAAGTCGACAGCTTNATATCTAGGATAGAAAATAACGCCCACTTTGGTCTCCAAACCGATTTTAAGGCCGTCTCATCGTTCTGAGTCCATAAATTTCTCACGTCAATCGTTCCAGGTCTAATCAAGCAAGCCGACAGCTTGCTCCGGACAGCGAATAAATATTTTCGAGTGGTAGTTTATTAATTGTGATTTTTGTTTTAATAAATTCAATTTATTAGGTTTACAGCCACCACTATTTCTAAATAATTCGTAGGCTTATTCGAAGGCTGCTTCCTCTGATTAAGGGTCGAAGTGAGTCGAAAGAGAATTTACCGTGATAACAAGTTGACACAGCTCGCTTATATTAGTGAGTCTTCTGAAACTGAAAACGCTGATTGATTGTTTTTGTGAACAATGATTTGTTTGATGATGAAGTTGAGAACCAGAATCCACCATCATTTTCATAGTCCCATCCAACTAACTTTGCACCACAAATGCCACTGGTTACTTACATCAAGGGTCACACAAATTTCTATATTGGCAACGAAGCCACCGAAGTGGTTTCATTCATGAAGATTTTTCCCAAAAGCTTATTCATTTACATTGCCCAATGTACGAACGAAAGTATAGAAATGGAAAGGAAGAACATTTGGAAATGCGAGCAAAGAAGTCAATAAGCAAAGGCCCTCCTCCTCCATAACTATGTCAGCGAAACTTTTCAATGTTGGAAACCATTTCCCAATTGAGGGAAAAGCCCGCAGAAGCTGTGCATGGTGTGCAAAAATGAATAAAGAGGCACGCTCGAAAATAGTGTGTACCTCTTGCAACGTAGTAGCACTGTGCAAGAATTGTTTCCAGCTCTACCACACCCTCAAGAAATCCAGACTTTATACTGTTGTTCCTCTACTACTTTCAATTTTTTCAAATTTTTACCTTTCTTATTTTATAACTGTTAATTTCGAAAAGTGTTTATAAATAAATATGTTAATAAAAATGTTAATGCAAATGTACATGAAAATGTTTATAAAAATAAACGATGCCTAAAATAATCATCAAAATTTTAAGTAATATGTCAATAAAAATGAGTTATTGACTCCAGAATTCCGGCCGGGACATACCCTGTCCCGGGGTTAAGATGCTTTGGGCTTACGGCGGGACATATGCTGTCCCATCAATGAAGGTTGTGAAATAATTGTTATTGATTGCGCGCTGTTATGGGGACGTTTATGCGTCTCCAAAACCTTCAACCTTTTAGGCATAAAAGTTATTTTATCTAATAATTGCTTGGAGGAGAAATAACTGATCCCGGTAATGGGGAGCACTTGGACTGATTTTTCGCCGTATTGAAAGGGTTAAGGCATACAGCAAACTTCTAGAAATGTAAAACTAATTGCTTTTAAACGCGTGCACTATTCTTTAAACATTAAAGAGACAAAGTATATCGTTGCAGTAAGATTATTGTCTATTGTCGCTATTAATTTATTTCTTGATCAAAATTTTCGATCGCAATTTACTGTTCCGAAAAATGTTAACCCCTTGGGGACGGTTGATTAAGAAAAGCATTCGTACAAAATCAGAATCAAGTTGTAATTAAATAAAAAACGGTAACTTAAATGTAGTCGTTGCTCATTTGACATACTTACTTTGCTTTTACTTTAATTATTGTTAGTTTAATCATATATATAATCAATGTTAATTCAAAGTATAACTAAATAGTTTTAATTTGAACTAAGTAATGGTGAATTAAATAAATGAAACAATTTTAACTCCGCCCACAAATAAACTGCTAAAGAAATACTTTGATTACCAGTTTTATCTTTTTACCCTGATTGATACGGTTTTATGCTGGCACGTATTTGTGATAGTCGGACCGATAGGGTTAAACATTTTCGCGTTTCAAGCCATCTAATTTTCTTACGAATGTGCCAACTATCTCCACTTTGAAAAAAAAAATATTTTCCAGTGGTAATGAATTTTAAGTGATTTTTAGTTTGGTATATTTTATTTCAAATAATTTTTCCACCGCTACATATCAAGAATTCAAAGTATCGCATGAAGTGCAACCTTTTTTGCAGTCATCTCGTGAAGACTTTTTTATACAGTAGGCGGAATTATCCTTATTTAAAAGTTAACTATACAATTCTCCACTAACTTATTAAAACTTTTGTAGAAATCGGAGAAGTTGGCAAACTTCATCTTAGTGTGTTGTAAGTTTTGGCTAAACGCGAATTAAATGCCTACTTATGATGCACTTCAATTAGAGCTACCTTCACCCGCTTTTAACCAGAGATTTTTGAAAATTTTTCTTGTACATAACCTAACATTATTGGATTCGATCATATAATTTTATACTTGACAATAATTATTTCTTTCTTTCATGTTTATATTTTTCTCTACGTGAGTAAGTTTTCTAAGAAATTAATATTTCTATAATTACAAACATGCAACTCACATTCCTATAGCGGCACGTTTATTTTACTTCTACTGTATTTTTTCAAATGGGTTGAAATAATTAAATAAATAGAAAATTTTGCAAATGTTTGCGTTTAGGGCCTTGAAAAAATAAGAAAATCTGAAGAAGAAAAATTAGAAATTGGTTTAAAAACAGGTAAAAGAGTGTTTTTGGACATGGCTCAATATTCGACCAAACTAAATTTTTATCTACATCCCTTATCGGCATACAATCTAGGGCCAATATTGGGTGTATTATTTTGTAACTGGTCCTAGACAAAAATGAATCTTGGTCCAATTTTGAAGCCATTCTGAGACCAATATTCGAAGGCCTAGACACCTCTATATTGATCCTTCTTTGTATACGCAGAAGACTTTTAATAACTTAGTAGCCACTTTTTCCTCAAACCTAATGAGTCGGTGACCGATATCAATAGGTACTTTTCATTTAATAATCACATTTTGCAAACTTTTTTTTTCTTTCTTGGATTAAATTACATTTTTTGAAAAAATTCACTTTTGAAATAATCTACAGCTATAAAAATACTAATTCAAGACTAAAAATAGTATAAAAATGTGACAAAATTAAGTTAAACATACTGATTTTGAAGAACTTTATGTAAAAATATTTAGCTAGACAAATTGCAATAAACACGTTGAACGACACGATAATTTTACATGGCTTGCTTGCCCTTTAGGCCACGGTAAATAACTACAAATTAATTTTGCTATTTTTGTAGAAGGTTTATCATGACAATTCTGACAAAAGTGGTGAATTATATAAGCCTACGGATTTTGTAGAAATAGTGGTGGATCAAAATCTACTAAATTGAATTTATTAAACCAAGAATCACAATAATTAATTAAATTTTGAATAAATTTTCTGCAATTCCGTAAAAGAGTGTAAGTTTTATAGTTTTTTATCATGTTATACGCTGTCAGTCAGCTGTTTTTCGCGGCCTATGTGAAAGGTCAGTGTCTCTCAGATTCCTTCAAAAAGTGACTCATTGTTTACTTACTTTAAGGCTTCAATTTATTTTACAGACTCGATACGTGATGATTTTCAGGTCAACCTGTAGTACCCATGTTGAGGCGAATTTAAGCACAACTGATAAAATTGTTAATATAAAATAAGATTATTATAAGAGGGTTATAAGAGGGCAAGATAAAATTGTTACCAGGGAGGCGGATTTAAAACATGAAAAGAAATTCAGTAACTTTTCAGAATTCCATTTTCAACAAAGCTTTGTTTTTAATTTAGCTAAATATTATGCAATTATAAAGTTAAATAACCAAATAGATTTTCTGAAAAAAAAATAGTAAATACTCGACTCAGTCTTCTTGAAGAGCAATTTACATATGCATATCCCTCGTCTTGGTGAGGAACACATGAACATTCACAAAAACGAGTTGGGCAGTCTTCGTTCGGCCAGGATAGATCTTGCTTTGTCAATCTATTCAACATTTTTGATTTCAAAATGAGTGGTGATGAACAATTGAATTCATTATTTAAATTTATTAACTTAGCATGTTCACTCCATTCTTTGATCCACAAAAGGCGGCAATCACACGCCCACTTATTTCCTGCAACACAAAAAGATAGTAAATGTAATAAATTTCCTAAATTTGGAAGGAATTTGTTAGATATTTGAGCCGGCCGATTTCATACCTGACGAATATTAATAGTAGAATTTTTTTAAGGAATTAAAGGTATTCCAGCGATGGAAAGTGATCTGATTTAAAAAAAATATATTTTTATCATTCTATTCAATTTTTTCATTTAATTTTGCATTCTTAACTACCATAATTTATCGACATTATCAATAATATACATTTAGAAAGAAAATCCTTTGATCATTCTTTTCAGCGATTAATTAGATAAAATTAGAAAGAAAAAAATTCTTCTTTTGATCTCTTTTGGAATTTTTGTTTCTCGTGTTTCAGAACTGTTTCTCAGGCCATCCAGTGTCCCTCACAATTATTATAATAGTAACTAGCTTACAGAGACTCCAACTACTAAGGATTTTCTGTAGATACAGAAAGAAATTTTATGGGACGGAAAAGAAAAAAAACTGGTTGAAAAACTATTTCGAAATTAGATAATATTCGGGAGGAGTTAATCTATTCTCAGCAATAACAATTCACTGTAAGAAAACTTAAAAAGGCGAAGAAGCAATTCAATATAAAAAGTTAAAAACAATTGGTAGTTAAGGATTTTTATTATTTCCGGAAAAAAACTAAAAAATGAAATTTATTTGTTACCAGTTTTTACTCCGGTGCGCCGCCCGATGAGACAATCTATCATGACCACTGGTGGGTCACCCCGGCGTGAACGTGTTAAAATAAGCTTTGACGTGGCCTCTGTGCACCAATGAAGGCCAACTAGGATGAGGTGAGGTAGGAAGATTATGAGTTCAACTTCCCTTTTTATTTCTCAGGTAAATCCAGAATTTTTAATAAGTTTTTCCCCCTTTTTCATGTACTTTTTTAAAATTTTATTTATAACTTATTTATCTCTTGTTTATTATCAATTTGTCCCTTTCTTGTATCATGCCAAATAATTTAGATGATTGACTAGACCTTTGGTAAATGTCTGAAATATATACTAGGTCTAGTTAAGTGCCACGACTGCCCGGTATACCCTGCACTGATATTTTTTTAAGGTGCAGTGCCACTGCCCGACCCTACACTGATGTTTTTTTAAGGTCAAGTGCCATTTCCCGGTATACATTTGCCCAATACTCCAAAGACTGATATTTCTTCGAATCTATCGTCAATAAATATTAAAATATTGAACAAATGTAATTCTATCCGCGAATAAATTAGTATCAAATCGGATGTAATAAATATTTCGGACATTCACCAAAGCGACTATGTGAAAGTCAACAAACACCGAT